CAAGTTCCAAAGAAAACATGTCAGGTACTCAATATGAAGCGTGAAGATGAAACAAGATGAAAATGCTATCTAATTTGTTTGAATCCTTTTCATGTGCATGTAAATTGAATCTAAGGGATAAACAGGTAGGATTCAGAACGTCAGACTGAATTACTGGTTAAGCAAAAGTGTTTGTAGTTTTGCAGGGTGGAGAACAACAACAGTCAAACACACAGCCTCGCTCACAAGTTGGATATTTAAAACAGAAAAAACATACAGATAACCTTTATCTGTATAACATTATCCATACCCCGGAACGATTTAGGTTTACAAAAATATTTTAATTGCATACAGACATATCTCGTTTCATCAATGTAGAACCTGTGTAAGGAGCTAAGATTAATGGCAGAAAGACCTTCCAGTTTCCAATACATGGGAGATTTTCATCAAAGAAAAAAATTCAAAATACGAAGAGAAATATTCAAACAGGCAAAACAGATGGTCACCAATAAGAAAATTTCTGTAATGCCATTAAAGATTTTTCTCAAGGATTACAGAGAAGGTTTTGACATTTCATTTTGTAATTAAAGTAGTAAAAGAGATCAGTATGTTTCTTAATTTACATTCCTTAAACATCCTTTCATTAATTAAATAACTGTTTTTATGTAGTGATGATCTACAGCAAAGGTTTTCAAAGAGGAATGATGATTTTTTTTTAAATTATCTTCTTCATTCCAACAGAAAGAGAGCTGCCAGAAAAATGCAGCTCTATCTTTGTTTTACTTGATTGTAATAATTTGTTTTTATGTTTGTACAATATTTATTTTGATGAAATTTGCATGTTCATGATCCTACAGTTTAAGAATTATGCTGAATGACCATGAGTTTTTATTATGCAAAAGCATTGTTTTTATGACTTATTATTAGAAAAGTAAAACATTTTTGCTTTTGGCAAAGTTTTTTTGTGAATGTTGTTCATGACACATATGGAATTTGAACCCAAGTGCCACAAGTTACAGTCAAATGCTGCATTCACACCAACTATATTTTGAGCATCAGTGATCCTGGGGTCTGTTTCACAAAGCAGGTTTACTGAAAACTCTAAGTTTACTGAATCTGATCTCATTGAAAGGCTGAGTTTTCCGTTTCACATAGAAAGTTTACCCAAACTCTGTTTCTGTTACCATAGCAACATTCTCCCCAGAGCTAACCTGGTCGGGAGCAGGTTTTGCTCAGAAAACTCAGAGTGTCCTCTGTTTTTCTGTTGTAAATTTGTATGAACAATAAAAATAAATCAGTCACAAGGTCCAGTAAAGACATTAGGTGTTAAAAACACAAACATAGTTTTTCTTTCAGAAAAGGATCCAATTAAAGAATAAGTGGCATTAATTGATGTTGAATTAAATATTTATACGGAAAGGGTTCTCAGACTGCATATAGATGTCCTTTCTATTCAGAAAGTTATCTTAATGAGGGCTACAGTTTAACATCACAATCCATCATATACATCCAGGACCTTATCCATCACCACATTTGCAGCATTGCAGATTTCTATAACAGGTATTTAACTGAACCTGACTTGATGTGTAACAGCATTATAGAAAACAACTGTGCAGTCAAACAGCCACTTAGTATTTACTGTGTGATGGAATACAGAAATAAAATGAGGGGAAAGCCCATGATATCCCTAATGTGTGTATGACATCCCTAATGAGTTGTTAATAAGCCTTTGGATTAATTTTTGCTGTAATGTATTTTCCTGAGAAAGTTCGCTGTTTTCAAGTTCGTCTTTTTATGAAAAATGGATCACAATGGTTTGCCCTAGTGGTTTGCCTTAGAGGAGGCATTGTGCTGCTTTCCGAACATAAAGATGTGATTGACTTTCTCACTCCTCTGTTCTGGAATTTCTTTTGATGTTGGCAAGATAATCTATAGAGAATATTTATTTATTTAGATATAGAGTTTTATTTTGACAAGACCAAATTGCTTTGGTGTTACAAATTAGTTCTTTTTGAGCAGTTTGATATAAAACTGTATCAGTCTCTACAATAGGGGTCCCTTCTATTAGTTGAAAAAAAAAACATTGTTCTTGGGTATGTTATTCAGATTTCCTGTAAAAGAAAGAATAATAATCCTTTTTTAAACCTTTTTTTTCCATCATAAAGAGCACTCCTCACTTTTTAAATTCTTCAGGAGTGTAATTATTTTGTTCCAGTTCTGTCTGAAATCCCAGAATATATTTTCTGGATTAGATGTGTATCTACCCAAAACACATATTAAGGTTAAGGCCTTTATAGACAGTTTACATGTACAGCACAGAGGGTGATGTATTGGGTCTTGCTTTGAAATCTATAGGTTTGTTTCACTTGTTATATGTTCCATCCTACTATTGAGTGGTAATACTTCAAAACCACTTCCAATTATATGCAAAAACAACATCTTGAATCTGGGACAAAAGACCTATGAGCCTATAGGCCTATTTAAATTATAATAAATAAATAGATTGAGATCCACTAATTTATTGTCATATACACTTCAGTGCATGCAACCGGGGTCTGTAACACACAGACATCATTCATCGCATTAATTAATAATCAGTTCTCAACTTCACAATAAAACACTTTTCAGTGGCTCTATGCCAATTTGAAAAGCTGGCATTTAGGGGTTGTCTTTCTTGAATTTGTCTCTTTTTTTCAAACTTTTTTCAGACGAACGAAACACAAAATATAATAAACAGTCTCTTCTACATAATGTAGCCACCGCTATCTAACAAACTAAGTCAGTGCCACAGAACGTGAGAACGTTCATTGCCTCAAAGCGGTGCAGGAAATTTGAAAATGAAGGATGTTGGCTGGAAGGGCTTGTCTAATCCAGTCAGGCAAGCTTAGGTTGCGGGTGCTGAGCCTGTGCCTGCCGGGGACACTGCTATCAGAGGCACAGTCTCCTCACTCCGGCTTCTCTTCCTTGTTGTGGTTGCGGTACTAGTGTTCTTCTTCATTTATTGTGGTTTTCCAAAAACTTCTGTTGCCGCAAGCGGGATACCTCATTACTCAGGGACCACTAGCTTGCTTTGACGTTGCCATGAAAACGTAACTTCCGTGAACTTGTGCTGATCAGGCCTCAAAATAATTAAAATAAAATCAAAATACATGTAATAGTAAATTTTAAAAAGGTCAAAATCATTTCCCAAAATATTCAAAAGAAAGTTCTAAATTGTGCAAGTATTTTAATATATTTTTTAAATCTCCATCTCACCAATAGGGGGTGCTGCAGCACCCTCAGCAGCCCCACTTCCCGCGGCCATGTCAGTGATCCACAGACATGATATATCTAAACATTATCTATGCATGCTCCACAAAGTGTACCTCAAGGTCCTATCAAAACAACAGAAGTACATTTTAAAAGTTGTTGTATTTCTTTGTAATTATGAGGGAATTGTTTTTGATCAACAATTGTTGATCTTTGATAACTAATCAAAACTATATTAGAATGTGTTGCTTTAACAAAATCCCAGTAAAACATGGAATGGCCTGACATAAAACACTGTTTATTATCATTATTATTCAATATAGACAATATAACCTTGGTGTTACCTGAGTAAGATTTAAAGGTATCAATGGTAGATACTTCCCAAGCCTTGGTTGTACGTTTTCTAACCAGGAAATTTATTAGGAACACCTTCCTGGATGGTTTTCCAATTTTACATCATAGCAACATAACGCAGCAGCAGATCTGTCTGCAGAACATCCATTTATAACTTACAAAAATTGCTTGTTGCATTAAGACCTTCTTGATGTGGAGGCCAATGGTGAAACGTAAACTAAACTGGTTTTCATGTTAAAGAAACCAGCACATGGTATATGCATACTTCCAGGTACATGATGTTGCTGAAAGGAGCCATCAAAAGAGTTTGAGTTCATGACAAGATAAAAACTAATAGGTGGCCGGTTTGACCAATGCATGCTGTCTTCACTAAAAGCTGATCTTATTGTTTGATGGTCTGCAATACAACAACAAAAATTCATTGTTAAATTACACCTGGCAAATATTTTTATTGTCTTTGTTTTTCCAGGCAAATAATTTTCTTATCATCATTCTGTCAGCTAATGGTGACATCGTTTTATTAGCGTTCTCGAGAACATCTCTAGCAAACTACACAAAGTAACTACTTGTTTTACTTTACATTTTGTTTTCCCTTGATTTCCCATTAATATGCATACATAAAGAAAGCAATTATGAAATTATTTTAAAATGGAACGTATGTTTCTTGTCAGGGATTGTCTTTACAGGTCCCAAGTATAAAAGTGGTGCCTATGATAATAAAACAAAGCTTTGTCTAAGTCTAAAAAAGCATCAACTACTTACGAAGTCATCTATATGGTAAACATCAAACAAGAAATAAAAAAAAGGGAAGCAAGAGAGAAAACGACAGGCTGCCCATTCTTTATCTAAAACAAACACCATAAAACACATGCTTGCATCGTCTTCTGAAGAGAATCATAAGAAAAGCCTAACTACTAAAACACTTTGTTAGGTCGTATGCCAATTTGCAGCTCATACACACTCCAGTCCCAATATCTCTTCAGTTCTAACTTTATGTGTTGATTCTCAACTCTCAGCTTTCACTCAAATTAAGTCTTTACACCTCGGTCTGAGGAGAGCTTGCAAAAAAACCTGAAAAAAACAACTTTTACAGCAGTATTGGAGTGTGGAAGGTAGTCTGTCATGAATACAGAACAGTGTGAAGCAGCAAGCACTCCATCTAGTGGATTAACAGTATCAACAACTAGATAGAAAAACTTCCTTTTCTGTAAGTATTTTTACCTCGTGTGCTCCGTTCGGCTCAATCTACATGACGATCTTTAGATTTAGGTTTGACTTGAATGAAAACAGCTGTTATCAATGATGCACAAGTCTAGTCAACACATACAGATGAAATTGCCCATGCAACCATTGAAATTCTTTCCAGTAAACTTGGTTTGGTGTTTAGTCTCAGCAGCAGGAAGCTTTGGGCTGCTTACCGCTCTCTGTGGAAATCTGGCTGTGGAACTCTGGAAACTGGGTTTCGACTGGAACACTGATGGTGCGTCGCAGAAGATGGGCCCTGGCTGACGCAACTCGCCTCCCCTGCAAAAACAGACAATCTCTAAGAGTTTGAGGCAGATAGAACTGTCAATCAATCCAACAAAAATGAGAGAAGAGTACCAAACAAACAAAAGCCAAATGGCATACACTTAAATAATATATCACACATTGAACAGGGCCCTTATCTCTATAGCTGTGGTTATTCTGATCATTGTGTTAAATATTGTATAGGGTTGACATCTCACAATAGCTGTTGTAACCTTGATAAGTGAGTGTCTGTTGTTCCAAGTAGAACAGGCATTAGCAGCGCATCAATCTGTGCCAACCTCTTTTCTTTCTGTAGCCTACATTGTAAATGTTTGGCTCCAAATGATTAAACAGACAAAAGGAAAAGGAGGGCTTTGAGGAAAGAAAGGTCTGGTGTCCTCCACTTGCGGTGATAATGGCTTATCGAACACGCTCACGTCTCTAGACTCATTGCAACACCCTGTCTGCCTTGTTTTCTCACATACTCTGATACGACTGTCAGAGTATCTCTGTCTCCATCTGATCCTTTCCGTCATTCTCTTGTATGTATCAGGGGAAAAAGCCTTCTCCCTAGTATCATCTTTTTTCTGCAGCTTTCAACCTAGATGTCAAAATAATCTGATCTAACACACAAAAGCGGATCATGGCATTACTGTATTATCATAGTGTGTATTCACAACCCGTGAACTAAGGTCATGCTGGTGTCCGCAAGGTTGGCACATCTAAAAAATTGACGTTTTTCTAAGGAGGATTACATTCAGAGAAACTGAGAATGTTAATTTTCAGGTGTTTTTTCAGATTCCTAACTAAAGGTCAGCATATACTCTGACTAGGCCACTCAAACATACCTAGATCTAGCTACATAGCTATAATAGAATGCCATTGTACTTGTTAATCTAGGGTCCTTGTCTCAAAACTTTTGCTGTCATGTGCTCTGAGCAGCTTATCATAACTTGGGTGCCTTTTTTGTGTAATGTTTTCCTTGTTCAGCCTATCGGTCCAGTTTGCGAGGCCATTTCTTTGTTCACAGGTGTGTCTTACCTTTGGTATTTTCAGATGAGTGATTGAACCTGTTTTCAAAACCTAATTTATTGTTTCATAACCTAATTTTGATTTAGCTCCCCCACAATATTCTCCCTGTAGCTGCTGTCTTCCTTGGTCATCATGTTTGTTTTCTGGTGTTCTCTAACAAGCCTCTTATGCTCTCTTAGAATAATTAGACTTAATTTAATTACATACGGGTTAACTTTATTTACTGATTTAGTGACCTATGTGCGTAGGTTTTACTGAAGTTTAGTTACAGAGGCATTTAAGTAAAGGGACTGAATACAAATAGACAATATTTTTAGAATAAATATTTAGTTGTTTTTTACTTTTTTTTTTTTTTTTATTCTTTGTAAAGAAAAACATGTGATCAAAGTGGGATCCCTGCTTTTTGGAGTGTGAATTATTTCACACTCCAAAAAGCAATTAATTGACACTTGTACAATCAAGAGTCAATTATAAATGGTAAATTCACATCAAAGCAGCACACATATAGTCAATTTTCAAAGAAAGACAAATTACACAAGCAGAACAGATTTCTATTATACATTCTACATTATTTTACATTTAATAAAAAAAAAGTTTGGATGTATTTTAAGAAAAGTTTAACTTTTTGTAAGTATCTCACAGAAAAGTTTGTGGTTATAATGGGAACAGGGTGAAAAAGATCAAAGTGGAAATACTCCTGACAAAAGCCTCTAAGGACTATAAAGCTCAGTGAGCCTCCCGGTTAAATCAGCACTACTTTAAGCAGATTTTAGAATTTATTTGGCTTTTTTTATTATAATTAGGTTTCATATTCAATTATTCATTGTATAATACATTATTCATTCTTCATACTTGGTGACAGAGTAATAATTCGTCTAAAAGTGTAAGTGAACCCTACATTCCCAGGCTTGAAGTAATAAAAGGGTGGGGAAAACATATATCTGACTATGTAACATGAAATTAATGATTTGAGATCATTTGGTTCTGATTCATAACTAAGACAGTAGAATGATAAATATGTCCCTGAGATTAATTAAGGAAAACTGCGTCAAAAATGAACAGGTGAAAACAAATGTTAGGAATAGAAGACTAGACATCAGTATAATGCACTGCACTGTTATAATTACTGTAAGGGTGTGCAGCCAAAACCAGGTGAGATGTATGTCATGCTGGTTAATGTTTTACGTTAATATCCTAGTTTATTATTAGAATAAACAAGAGAGACAGGAAGAATGTGTTGGGTTTCCATGCATAAATGCATTATATATTAATACAATTCAAATATTATGCAGTGTGTCTACTGTTATCTTTGCAGTTTTTATGCAGAGTAACAATCCTTGATTTAGCAGTAGCTCTTGTAACCAAATATGATCCCTCATTGCTGTTTGAATTTCTGCAGAGTATCACATGAGGAACAAGCTCACACTAGATGGATATAATAGCCCACAGACATGGTGCTGCAGATGAGAAACAACTACTGTTAAGAGTCAATGTTAGATTTAGAAAAGTTATATTAATTAAGGCAGAGTGCTAATACTCCTTTAATTGCCACAGTGTTGCTGTTCTTGTTTTTGTACTATCCGGTGTACTTCTAAACAGAAAACACACTTTGCCTTTTATGTAGGGTAGGACAGCATAAGTAGTAGTCTCTTTTTACCCAGCTGACAGGCAGTGTGCAGCAGGAGCAGGTGGTGGGACAGGGCAGAGCTTCACTACTCTGTGCTTCATATGGCCACAGAAAGCTCTGATTCCTCCAGTATATTGTCTCATATCTCCTTTATAAGACATTAGAGATTAACAACCTGTGAGCTTTTTAAAAAGCTCACTAGATGTCCTGTCTACTACCGTATTTTCTGGACTATAAGCCACTACTTTTTTCTCACACTTGGAAACATGCGGCTTATGGTGCGGCTTTTCTGCAGATCTTACCCACCACCAGAGGGGGAAGTCAAAGTTGGAAATCAAAGAATAAGGGGCTTATTATTTAATTTAGCACAAGAACATGCTAGCAGCTAGCAGCAGGCGAGAGGGAGAACAAACGTCCACAGTTCACACATTTGAAATTTATTTGCCGCATTGAAGCTGCTGAAACAATGAAGAGATTGGGCTCAAGTCCTGCAGAGCTGAAATAAAGAGCCGACAAAGCCCCGTCTTTCAGTAAAAGCTCTTACTGCTGCAAACCAACAAGCTAACGGGAGCTAGCATTCTACGTCGCTACTTTAGGACCTATATATAGAGCTCCCCCTACAGGTTTGGTGGGAGACAGTTCAGTAGATATCAGCTGCTTATAGCCAGGTGTGGCTTATTCAATTCAATTCAGTTTATTTGTATAGCACCAATTAACAACACATGTCATCTCAAGGCACTTTATACTTCACCAGATCATATAGTCAAATCGATTCAAAGTTTTCTATCTAAGGAAAACCAGTTGATTGCATTGACTCGGATGCAATCCCTCACACTAAGCATGCTTGTAGCAACAGTGGAGAGGAAAAACTCTCTTTTAACAGGAAGAATCCTCCAGCAGAACCAGGCTCAGTGTGAGCGGCCATCTGCTGAGGCCGACTGGGGTTCACAGTGACAATCAGAGAAACAGGACACTGGAAAAACAGGCCAATCTCCAACATCTATAAACAAGGGTGTGGATGGCAGCAGCACAGTTGATATATGCACATTTCCAGTTTTCTCCAAAAATTAAGTGGGTGTGGCTTATAGTTAGGTGCGCTCCATAGCGTGGAAAATACGGTACCAAAAACAGAGCAATTACAAATTATTGAAGCATGTTACTAAAAGGCAGCTCACATAAAGTACACAAATTTGACATATAGCTATTGAGCATCGGAGATGATTTCATTCTCCTATTACTTTAACTTAAAGAAGAAATACATTATGTCCACTATGATTAGGTAAAATAAACATGTATTTTTTTATTTGAATTTTTTGCCTACATGTTCTTAAATTGTTTATTATGTTTAAAATGTCCGTTCAGGATTTTAGCCATCTTGTTTGGTTCTCTGTTAACAAAACAGAAAGAACTTAGAGATTCACACCATCCAAAGGCTTTTGAGGAAACATAGCTTTTTTAAAAAAGGATCTCTCTGACAGGCAAAATGATGTATCTATGAAAAATTAAACAGTATTGGATGATAGCAAATCTGCTGTGAGAAGTCATTAATTTTGGTTAGTACACTTGACCTAATTCATTCCTATCACGTATTGCCTTTAATCATTTCGGCGCTTCAGATTTTACCATAAATAATGAGATTTTTGATGAATACTTACTTTCTTTGCCTGTATCCTGACTGTATTTAATTCAAACTCAAAAGTGAAAAGGAAGTAATAATGTGGAGGAGTATGTCAAATTCATATAAAAAAAATCCTCACTTCTGACAAAAATGAGACACAATAGTGATACAAAGGGACACAACAGATGAGAGACTGTGCTGTCTGCTCTCACCGCCTCCTCTCCATCGAGAAGCAGCATCTGACGGTCAGCAACCACAGAGCACTTTGGGTTCCACGCAGTTCTCTCTTCATATGAATGTCCGCGTGACATCCGCTGTTGTGGCGGACGCCGTAGATCTAAAGTAAAAGAAGAAAAGAAAAGAATTCACAAAGAAGAAGGACAGTGTATGTTAAGCGAAAGAAGAAAGCAGAAAAACTTATTTTAGCCAAGATTTCTGCATCATCCAATTAAGAATTTACCAACAGGAATTAATTATTCTGAAAGGATTATGTTTAGTTGTTCATTTTTCTCTTGACAAGACAGCAGAACCTCAGCTCTTATGGTAATTGATTGAAAATACATATTTTGATCGTTAATAATGTGTTAAGTTATATGGAGCACTGGAGGTTGGAGACCTGACTCCTCTGAGAGAATGTGATAAGTAGTTACAGTTTGAATAAACCTTTAACATCACTTGTGTTTTATTGAAATATTTAGTCACTGATCACCTTTATTATATTGCTTTTCTAATTCTGTATTTTAAAACTCTGCTTACAACCTTTTTAGCACAAATACAAACTCCAGTCCTTTCTTTTCAAGTCTTAAAGTTTTGATCAGGACTAACATGATAAAGTTCGTTATTATAATACCAAAAATCAATGTCATTATTATATCTGAATCAAAGGTTACACTAAAATATAAAATATTTTAGCATAGCCTTTGGGATGCAATAAATCTTTTAAAACCATTTTCCTTCAGACGATCTAAAATAGGAGTGTCTTTATAAACATGAACAGTCCTTTTATTATTATAATTATCATCATTTTATCATTGCATTCTAATCAGATCTTTGGGAAGGTCTTTTTAAGTTGTCTTTTCTTTGTGCTTAAGCCATTCAGAGGTGGTCTTACTCATGACTACTTAAACTTGAGGTCGTATGGATGAATTCTGTTATCTTTTTTTTTTTTTTTTTTTTTTGCAGTGACAAGAATCAATTCAGGCAAAAGAAGGAATATATCCACCAACTATCATCCTACAGCCTGCATATTTGCCTGTTTTCTAAGATGCTGTGTCTCTTTTGCATCATATTTTCTCCAGCATCTAAAGAAGAACTTTAAGGTAAGGCAAAAAAAAAAATAAACTTAAGCTAATCTTTGAAAATATCCTTCACCAAACATAAAATAAACATTCACTTTTTGTTGGAAAATGCTACTTTTGAAAAGATAAAATGTTTTCTTGTGTTATAATAGTGATCCATAGAAAACATATGTAGATATAGAAAAATATAAATAAGTAATGTAAAACCATGTTATAATGCAATGTATTCACATGAAAGCTGCTCATTCAATTCTCTCCAGCTTTTCTTTTCAGCAGTGCAGTTCCGTATTTTTCTTCCCTCTGGCTACATTCATCGACGAGCTGCTTACTGTACAGTATAATTTCTTTTCTGTGTTATTCTCAAACCTTCTCACATTTTCCAGATATAAAGAGGGAAAACGATGAATGTGCATGGATTCAAGATGATGAAATTGTGTATCATAAGATGGCGAAACTTTCTGCCATTACTCTTGCAAAGACAGATTCATATCATATCATTATAGAGACAAAAATTGATCTGTCCAAAATATTATATGTAACTAGATACAAATACATCTAAAACAACGTTACCAAATAAACCTGTGGAAATATCTTTTTTACTTAGCTTAACTTTTTTATTACTATTATGGTGGAAAAAAGGTTACAACTTTTCAATGCTTGTCCTATGAGACCAAATGCTTTGGAAGTACCTAGACTAATGAAACACAGCTTTTGCTACAACTGTTATTGTCAACTACATGTCAACTTGAAGAAATAAGGACGCCACATATTTTCTTTGCAGATTTTATTTTAAATCAAGAACAACTGCCAGCCATTACTAAAGTATTGCCAAATATCTCTTTATTTATCTCTATATTGCCTAATGTCATATATTAACAGATACAGTTAGCAAACTAAGAGCAGCAAGGCTGACCTGCCGAACTCCAGACTCTGTCTAAGCAAACAACCCAACTAATCAATCAGCTGATATCAGCTTTTTGTATATATTACTGTTTGGAGAGCAGAACCGGTCTAGAGTAAAATATCCTGCAATGAAGCACTTGAAAACTACCACAAAATTCAAAGATGCTTACATGTTGTTGTTGTTTTTTTTATTGTTTTTATATCTGAGTCAACAGAAACAGAAAGAATAATCTTTGCCCATTTTAAATGAAGCCATTGGATTTGTGTTTTTTTTTTTTTGTTTTTGTTGCTAAATTTCCATTGGGTCCCTGATAATTGCCCTTAAAGGACCTTGGCCAGGCAAAACACATTTTTGAGCTTTTAACTGAATCTAATATATTTTTTTCGCATTGGCCGCTCTGCCCTTTCCTCATCAGCGAGATGCTGTGTGGCACCTTTGCTCAAAGTTAAGACTAAGTGTCCTTTTTTAGTAGCTAATCTGCACAGTCACAGCAACTGCCCCTTGCCCAGCTAATGTCTAAGTAGGAAAAAAGTGAAAGGGCTATTGTTTTGTCCTGGTTCTATAAAGAAGAGCTTATATATGAACATAATGGAATGCAGTATTTCATGAAGTTAGCCCTTCCTGGTAAGATCTGGCATCTTAACAGATTTGTATTTTCCAATCCAAGCAACTTCTTGTGTACCCAATTAGCTTTAAAGAATATAGAGATGACAACATAATTAAGCAGGAAAGCTGGACTGCAAAGAATGCAATCCACACACATAATGCTCATTATACCATAAACACTGAGAACATTCATGGTCTCTTAGGGTCAAGCAACACCTCTGTTTGGTATTTATTCATAATGATTCTTATTGTTATGAAGTTAACATTCCATTTCATTAAAGGGAAACCAGTATACTTAACCCATTACATATGCTCTCAATAAACCAGTATGACCATAAACAGAATCCACAACATTTACTATTTATACCCGGGGCTACATATTCCCAAGGTGAAATGAATTATGATGAAGAAGATTAAAATATTGGAATTTTTCAGTGGTATTTCTTTATAAGCTTAGCTGTGCCTCTTTGTCTCTATTTGTTCTACATGTAAGCTCCTGACAACTGCGTTTGTCTCTAAATTTGAGATTTAGAGCTAATTAAATTCACACATCAAGTACGAATCTGTAGCTTTGTTGCTTTTGGGAAGAAAAATAAATTAGAAAGGCAGAGCTCTGTCAGTCAGTGGACTTCCATCATTGTTTGACTCTTACTTGTTTATTTGTCTTCCCTCATAAACCAAGAGTTTTAGTTTTAGCTGATACTGAATAATATAATTTAATCAAAACTGGTATTATAATCCTGTCTCCACAGAATTTGAGTCCAAAAAAGATAAGCATGAAGTCTATTTTAAAAACATGAGTGTAAGCTGATCTGCGAGTGTCAGTGTAAAGAAACCTACCATGCGTGTGCTAGGGCATTAATTTGACTTAGCTTAGGTGATGTTGCCATGATGATGGGTTTAACACAGCAGTGATGAAGACCACATTTACAAAAAACACTATTTCTCGGATTTCTTAGGTCTTATATTAATTCTTAGGACTACATGTGTTTCACATATGTCTAGCTGTAAGAATTATGGGCAACTGTTTTATATGTTGCTTTCTATGTGTCTGAGAAATACACTAAAGGTGTGTTTGCTCTTTTCACTTTAATAGGTTGTCACTACACTGCTTTATTTTATCATATTGTAAAATATTTTCATCTATGTAGGTCTTTCATAACAGTTTTAATAAAAACAAAGCTATTAGAGAACGAAGTAAAGATGTAAATAAGGCAGGTTCTTTAGAGTCCTAAAGGGCCAAGGTCAGGGGTCGGCAACCCAAACTGCTCAAAGCACCATATTGGACCAAAAAAACAAAAAAAAATTATTCAGTCTGGAGCCGCAAAAAATGTAAAAGTCTTATATAAGCCTCGTATGGCAACACAGGCTCTAAGTGTATTATCCCACTATAGAAAGGGACTATGTGGGCTTAAATATATAATAAGAATTCATGATCAAATTTTTATCCTGGAAATGTCACATAGTCGCATGAGGTGTGGGAGGATCAGTAAACGCTCTCACCGCGCGCTGCTTCACCACAGTTAACCACACGGTTTTAGTTTTGTTACATTGATGAAATTATAGAAACACAATAAACAAATGTTTCTATGGTGGACGTGTTTCTGTTGGGAGGAGTTGATTGAGTCATAAGGAACCAAGCAGACCCTGACATCCATCAGAGAAGAGCTCTCTAACCCTGAAATCCCACATCCTCCATCACCAGCATTCCTTGGTGCGATTTATATTTTTAGGATTTGGGGAAAAAAATGGAAGAAAGTTCACATCACAGCATCAGAGCGCTACCTGTTTGATCTGTGGATGCTTTTCCATCCTTGCAACAAAACTAGCAGCAGTAGTGGAGTTTGAAGATTAAATTCACTCCTTAAATCTATCTTTGTGCTCCTCTAATTTATCCAGAAGTTCTACAATCGCACTTTTCTCTCACTCCCAGCTTGGTGTTCCGCTGCATATTTAGCTTGCCTTCCCTGGAAATGCTTTTCCAATTTTTTATTTTTTATTTTTTGACAACTTCTCATTATAAAGCAAAAATGCAGGCAATCCTTCCTCATTGATAATGAAAGCAAATTATTTGTTCCATTCTTTGAATCCTCTTTTCTCATCAGCTATCTTCCTTTTTTCCCTTTGGAACCCATGGCCTGAGACACACCTGCAGCTTTGTTTGCCTGGCACCGCGCTTTACTGGTTTTCAAGTTATGACCACTGATCTCTATGGCTATGACGCAAATTATTTCTTAAATGTATTTATTATACAAATGTTTACAGCATCGGAAAACATAATACATTTTTCTTTGACCTCCTGCACACCATATTAGAACATACATTTTTGAAAAAGCTCCAGCGGGCTGCAAGGGGGACGCTAAAGAGTCGGAGTCACAGGTTGCCAACCCCTTTGCAACATATGTCCAACTTTAACCAGACCCAGAGCAAGGTTTCAAAGTTGTAGAAGACCTCATCTCAAAAGACACCTATCCATCGGTTTTACAGTTACATAACTGTTGTCTATAAAAAGCCCATATTAAAAAAGCC